TGATAACGACGTGTGACTTTTTCCACTACAATGTTTTTGGGATGCAAAAATATCACTCTTTTGAACACATAATGTTTTGGGAAGAGAAACGTTTTATTTCGCTGGGTCTAGCAAACCTGCCGGACTACTTTCGGCTTGACCAAAGCTGGACGAGAACTCTGCTCACAGGACGCTGCCAGGGGTAAGTCAGTGTGATTGCATGACACTGGTGATGGGGATGCCATACAGATTCATGTCAAAAATCCCGAACTATCCCTTTAAACAGTTTATTGTCGCCTAAATTAACTTAAAATGCAGAAATCTGCCGGCAGAATATGCAGTTTGGATTATTTAGATGAAAAACACCTACCAGCCGCCGCGGTGAACCGCGAGGAGGCGACCCGGCCAGAGGCTGCTGATGAAGGGATCCCTACTGTCGGCGCACCGCTGGTATGTGGGGGTCTGAGCGGCTCCGACAGAAAAAATATTGAAGGCAGGATGATAATCTGAATGAACTGACGGCACTGATTACGTTTTCAGGTGTATTTTCTCACTTAAAAACATATTAAAACTACTTTATTCCCACTGATCACAGCAAATATAGCTGCAAGGCAGAGAAAGGATAGTGAAGCTCCGCCCAACGCGCGTCAGACACACTTTTGCACCGCGCAGCCAGAGCAGCAAAGCTGCTTCAGCCGCGCGTCAGAACTAACTGGTACAAGCAGCAAAAATGAAGCAGCAGACGCCATTTTGCTGCGTCCGATGTGAACGTAGCATAACTGCACAAAGATCGCCACTCTGCTAGCAACGAGAATGCTTTTAACTGGGGCGTGTAGCAGTTCTCGCCGTAAAGCAAGACTGACTCTCGCGAGACTTCTGAGCCTGTGGGTGCGGGTCGGTGCTCCTGCAATTGCAAGTGCGGTATTTCCCCCACAGACCACCAGGGCGGCTGAGAATACCTTTGTTCAACCTGAAATGACTCATTTAATCATCCATAACGTTATGGAACACATTAATTAACTGAAAAATGTTGCATAGTGTGCCTTTAAAAAGTCTTGTATTTTTTGAGTTGCTCTCTGTTGCCCCCTTGTACTGGTCTAATTTCGCTTAGCTCCTTATTGTTACTTCTGTCTTCATCTGCTCTCTATCTGATTAGTTCTCCCATTATTTGTGTCTCCCATATATGTATATATATATATATATATATATATATATATATATATATATATATATATATATATATATATATATATATATATATATATATATATATACACACCTCCTGTTCAGTAAAGGGCTGATTATACTGCCGCAGCAGTGTGTCGCAGTGAGTTTTTGATTTATGTCCAATTTTTAAGCATGGTCTGCACTATGTTATTCCGCACCACAACTTAAGAGGGACAATCACAAACTAGCTGCGGGTCTAGATACGGCCGAGGCGATGAGGAAGTGGAGGCAAGTTTGTGCGACAACGGAGGGGCATGAGTGCGAAAAAGAGTGGGGATCCAGGTGGAAAAAGGGTCCCAGCGTTCTCGCGCACCTCGCCCTTCTAGCTGGTCCAACTTCACGAGTAGTTTTCCACAATGGCGGTCATACAAACAAAACAAGCCGGTAAGTATGGAAGCGAATCGTTACCATATTTAAAATGAAAAAGCATTGAAATGCTTTTTCATTTTAAATATGGTAACGATTCGCTTCCATAGGGGGTAAGGTACTAAACAGGAAATACACATAGTGTAGATCGGATGTAGATTTGAGATCTGACCAATTAGAGGCCTCCTGTCTGCGGCACTGTCTGTGGTCACCTACAATTTTGGAGAGGTGCAGAGTGTCTGCGGAAGGAGCGGGGGCATATTTGCTATAAAACACATGCAGACGACCTGGTTTCTGAGTATAAATCAGCCTTTACTTTTTGCTGGTTTCTTGTACCTTGTCCCCCCATGTGTGTTTTACCCTGACGTCTCCTGGTTTTTGATATTTTGTTATTGGAATTTGTTGCCTTTTTTCATTAAATCAGCAAACCTCATCTTTGCATTTGGGTCATCAACCATCCTCTACCCCCACATTGACACAGTAAGCTTTATGAAGATTTTTCTTTTTCTATTTTTTTCAGCAGGACTTGCCAAACTACCAAAAGAGGTTTTAATGAACATGGTTATTGCTGAGCTTCATCGGCTAGCAAACTGGCCTGATGCATGATCTTTAGAGTACTATTAAAAGAAAGATGAAAGAGACAGGATTGACTGGTTGAAGCTCCCATTACACCTCAGTATTGCCAGGCTGATTAACTCCATGCCACACCATGTTAAACCAGTAATTTCAGCAAGATGGAGCCAAATTAAGCACTGAATGCATACAAATGAAAATATATTTTTCAGAAGCCTGTAATTGATCTATAGCATCTGTTTTAATTTCATCATTCATTTATTTATCATTTCATTTATTCAATTGATCTAGAATAATATTTTTATTTTCTGAGCAACTGTTTGGATTTCCACTGTCTGTAAGCCACTATAAACAAAAAAGGACTTTTAAAAACTTATGTATTAAATCATACAACTTTCACTTTCTGAATAAGTGAGGAATCATTTTTTTTGATACTCTAATCTTTATAGATGTACCTCTAAGGTTTATACCAGCATTTGTGATTCATGTAAAATTCTTTTTTACAAAGAGTGTCATTATTGGCCAAACTCTGGCCCAGTTAAAGAAATTACAGTATCATCCATGAACTTTTTACAATACCCTTTTTCACTTTACATTGCAAAATAAATTCCATCAGTTAGAGGCATATGCACTTCCTTATTGGGTACCATTTTATTCAATATCTTATATAAAGTAAATATTTACAACTTACTTTTACTCTTATAAGCATCTGAAAAAAAATCCCCTAGTTAAATATCAATTATTTATAGAACCACTTGAGTAATACAACTACAACAGCATTTATTTAACCTTGATGTTGCAGAAAGAAAAAAGTTTTAATATAAAAAAGGAACATTCTTGGTATGCAAGAAAGTGAAAGCAAAAGGTCAATCCTCTGCATTGTTAAACAGAATATAGGCCTCATGACAATAAAATGATTAAGCATTAAAAGAAATGTTATGTCGGCAGAGTAGTGTAAAAACCAGCAGGGGGCACACAAGCATCAAAGAACACTTCCCTTAGGAAGTTTCAGTTCTTTTAAAACATGTTTGTGGAAAGTCATTTGTGTGGTATGGTCTGCCCTGATTGTTCTCATTTTAAATGAAATGTTACCATTTTCTCATTTTAACACCTTTTATCATTTACGTTCAATTGTGGGCTGCACGGTGGTACAGTTTGTAGCCCTGTTGCCTTACAGTAAGAAGGTTCCAGATTCAAGGCCCAGGGTCGTACATTATTGAGTTTTCATGTTCTCTCGCCTCTTCCCACAGTCCAAAAACATGACTGTTGATTGGTATCCAAAATTGCCCTTAGGTGAGTGTGCATGGATTGTGTGTCAGTTGCCCTGCAACAGACTGGCGACCCATCATGGTGTACCCCACCTCTTGCCCATAGACTGCTGGAGATAGGCATCTGTAGACAGCTTAGCTAATCTGGCCTTAATGAAATAGTTTTAGGATTTAAATTTAAGTTATCAGAATTCCCTTTTGTGGCTTGCCACAAGCAAGATGGATGACAGCTATGCAGCAAATATCACAAAAAGGTTTATGTCAAAGCATGCATTTTAAAATTGCCTAAAGCAGCAACAATGCTTGAAAGCAGATATACTTAGCCAAATCTGAGCTTGATCCCTTTTGCAAGGAATAAAAACCTCTCCACATGTAGTAGGCTGTGGATGGTGGACCAGATGGATGCCCCAAAAGGGTTGCATCAAATCTGGCAGCTTGTGGAATGTCATTGGGATTAATGACTGACATTTTAATTTTTACATATGGAAATATCCAGTGATCAAATTACTTCAATACTAACGTCAGAGATGGGAAGTAACAAAGTACAAATACTTTGTTACTGTACTCAAGTAGATTTTTCTGATATTTTTACTTTACTACTTATTTTTATGGCGACTTTTTACTTCTACTCCTTACATTTTTACACAAATATCTGTACTTTCTACTCCTTACATTTTAAAAAATTGTCTCGTTACTTTAGTTTTGAAATATTTCAATGGAGTTACCGTTATTTTTCACGTCATCAATACCAAATTCAATCTAATTGGATGGGAATCTACGTTGCATTTGACGCACCACTACAAGATGAATCGACAGATTTGGCGGTATTCATTGGCGGCAAATCATTGCAGCTTGGTGGCGTTAGCATAGTAGCATGAACGACGAGATGATTGAAAATGAACACAACGGAGATCTAGTCCTATTGGCAGACATCCATTTAAAATGTAGGCAGCGGCATGAAAAAAGTGGTTTCTACTTTTACTTTTATACTTTAAGTAAATTTACAAGCCTGTACTTTGTTACTTTTACTTGAGTAAAGAAGTTTAATCAGTACTTCCACTTTTACCAGAGTATTTTTTAACACAAGTATCTGTACTTTTACTCAAGTACGGAAAGTGAGTACTTTTGCCATCTCTGACTAAAGTACATGGTTTTAATTTTTCCTTCAAATAATTAAAGTATTTCTGTAGTGCTTTGGTATGAACCTGTTCCACTTTTAGTTTAGGCATCCATTTTAATTCTGAACCCCTTTATACAAAGACCTCAATAAAGTTAATGAGTAAGCCAACGCTAGTGCATACCCAAATGAATTTGAATCATGTGCTCTGCAAGACAAAAATGCCAAGCAGACTACAAAACCATTTAGTGGTGTTGCTAAAAACAGTCTTTAAAGAGTGAAATGTGCATGCAGCAATGTCATAGGCAAAAGGCACAATGCCATTTGAATCAAAATAGCAAGTAACAGCCACTGTTTGGGAAGGGCCTATGAGTGCCAATTGAGCAATGCTGGCAATAGGAAATGAGCTTCTTGTTGACATCCCCAAAAGTCTTGCAACAAAAACAGACAAGTCATACTTTTAAACAGGTTTATTGATGAATCAATAAGACAGCGATGTAGTTGCCACCATAAATATCTTCACCCTAAAGTCAATAGGAGGAAGGGCATCTCTCAACAACAAGAACTCCAGTTGAAGTTATTTCCTGGATGACTTTCCATAAGACATCCAGTGAACTTCAATATTTGAACATTTTTTTGGAAGGTCGTTTGTTGTGTCCAAACACATTACCTAAAATCTGAGGTAGCCCAAGCCTTAGAGGGCGGTCCCTGAGGCCATGGTAGTATGGTCGGTGACTGGGTTGTAAGCAATTGCCTTTCCAGCAAGGATCCTGTGGGGGCAGAGGTCTTGGCCACTCGTGTCCATGACAGCTACTTGGGGGATTAGGCCCTACACAAGGATCCTTTGGGAGCTGTGGTCTTGGCCACTGGGGTCCATGACAGCTGCTTGAGGGATAGGGCCCTATACAAGGATCTTGTGGGAGCAGGGGTCTTGGAAACTGGGGTCCATGACAGCTACTTGGGGGAGTAGGCCCTACACAAGGATTTTGAGGGGGTACAGGTCTTTGCAACTGGGGTCCCCAACAGCTGCTTGGGGGATAGGGTCCTAGACAAGGATTCTGTGGGAGCTGTGGTCTTGGTAACTGGGGTCCAAGACAACTACTTGGGGGATTAGGACCTACACAAGGATCCTTTGGCAGCTGTGGTCTTGGTAACTGGGGTCCATGACAGCTTCTTGGGGGATTAGGCCCTAGACAAGGATCCTGTGGGAGCTGTGGTCTTGGTAACTGGGGTCCAAGACAACTACTTGGGGGGTTAGGCCCTACACAAGGATCCCTTGGGAGCTGTGGTCTTGGTAACTGGGGTCCATGACAGCTTCTTGGGGGATTAGGACCTACACAAGGATCCTTTGGCAGCTGTGGTCTTGGTAACTGGGGTCCATGACAGCTTCTTGGAGGATTAGGACCTACACAAGGATCCTTTGGCAGCTGTGGTCTTGGTAACTGGGGTGCATGACAGCTTCTTGGAGGATTAGGACCTACACAAGGATCCTTTGGCAGCTGTGGTCTTGGTAACTGGGGTCCATGACAGCTTCTTGGGGGATTAGGCCCTAGACAAGGATCCTGTGGGAGCTGTGGTCTTGGTAACTGGGGTCCAAGACAACTACTTGGGGGGTTAGGCCCTACACAAGGATCCCTTGGGAGCTGTGGTCTTGGTAACTGGGGTCCATGACAGCTTCTTGGGGGATTAGGACCTACACAAGGATCCTTTGGCAGCTGTGGTCTTGGTAACTGGGGTCCATGACAGCTTCTTGGGGGATTAGGACCTACACAAGGATCCTTTGGCAGCTGTGGTCTTGGTAACTGGGGTCCATGACAGCTTCTTGGGGGATAGGGCCCTAGACAAGGATCCTGTGGGAGCTGCGGTCTTGGCCACTGGTGTCTATGACAACTACTTGGGGGGTTAGGCCCTACACAAGGATCCTTTGGGAGCTGCGGTCTTGGTAACTGGGGTCCATGACAGCTGCTTGGGGGATAGGGCCCTAGACAAGGATCCTGTGGGAGCTGCGGTCTTGGCCACTGGCGTCTATGACAACTACTTGGGGGGTTAGGCCCTACACAAGGATCCTTTGGGAGCTGTGGTCTTGGTAACTGGGGTCCATGACAGCTACTTGGGGGATACGGTCCCAGACAAGCATTTGGCTGAGGTGGATTAGATTTATGGCAATGCTGTGGTAGATTAAAGGGATTGTATCCCTCACAGCTAAGAGGTGTAAAGTCTGAAGAGTAGACATTTGATTGTTGCCGTTGTAGAGGTCCCAAGCTTGGAACTGTAAAAGAGGACATACGTCAAGGCAAGAAATACAGGACCACTTTGAAATTAGGCCAATTCAATAGTTTGTGCAGGCTTTTGTAGCAATAGCCTTGTCAGACATGTGTATCTGTTGGAACACTAATCACCAATGAGCACACAAGATAGGTCTATTAAAACATACTTCTAGATTTAAAGTCTAAATGTAAGTGCATGCATTTACAACATATAAAGCAGCTTTTAGAGTTACTTTCAGTTTTGCAAGCAACACACAAAAACACTTACCTCTGTACTTGGCCCAAGAGAAGCTTACTTCATTCAGCAGGTAAAACAGATATATACTGTGAAGGAAAAAAATTGAAAGCCAAAAAAAGTTTAGAATACAACAACAAACATCAGGGAATATTCATGTTTAAATGTTGTACCTCAGTATTAAGAATCCAGCAGCCATGAGTGCAGCAACTCTCAGCTGCAAGAACTGAGTGGATGTTGAACAATACAGCACACAAAAATCCACAACCAACTCCACTAGCTTGTCCAGCCAACAAAATCTCCCACACCTCAAGCTGACTAAAAGACAACTGCACTGATGCTTATATATGTTACCTGTCCACAGGTAACTCCCAGCTACTATCAATCTACCAATTCAATGAAAGGTTGAGCAGTTAGTTAAGCCAAGTGCTGGCAGGTGTGATGTGTTTGTAAAATTGCCCTGCAGGGAGTGCTGATTTAGTCCCATTTAAAAGGTAAAAAAATGTCTGCACTTAGGTAAGTGCAGAAATGTTGAATCACATCAAATGGCAGGTCAAAAGCACTTTTTTGTGGTAGTTATGTTTGTGAGGGGGAAATAAGGCTTAAATAATATTAGCATACTAAAATCCTGATTTCTTTTGCAGTTTAATTATTTTTACAACTATTCTATTGTTTTCTTAAGTGAGAGCAAGAAAGAAGAACTAAAACATTAATATGTTTTTATTTTGGTTCTTCCCCCTCTCAGCCTCTACTTCATCAGAGCAATAGCATGTACATGTTCAAACTTCTGTCTGTGAAAGTCAGATTAGCCTTCCATTTCTCACTGATATATTAGTTTTCTAATCACAATCAACACTGTGGTTCTGTTCAAATGTAAATATTAGAATCAGGTTTAATGGAAGTTATTTATTCTTTTTTCATGGTCCGGTACCAAATGACACACGGGCCGGTACCGGGCCCGGTCCTGTGGATTGGGGATCACTGTCGTAGAAGATCATTTCTAAGTTCTAATGAGGTGAACTTCAGTAAATGTTACTATATTTAGACAGCTCAAATAGTTAACTTAAGAAGCTAAAATTTTACAATTTGTATGATTTATCTTAATCAATTAACATAGACAAGAAGTACAGCTTTCTTAACTACACCTCTTAAAAGTTATTGCCAACAGTGTAAGATTTGTTGACAAAGCGGGCTTATTTGTGCTGAAGATGCACTCATCTGAGCCAGAAGCAGAGAACTAACATCAAACCGAGACTAATGAAACTGTGTGGAACAGTGTGGAACCCTGATGGTAGCGCAGATGCTGACAATCTTTCCTGAGAAACTAACAGCTGTCATCCTGCTGTCACCTGCAGATATCACACGAATGTGATGATCGTTTTGCCACATTTTTTTTCTGCAATCACTTTCAGATTTCTTGACCACTTGACATGCAAAAGACAAAGGGCTCCTGCTGCTCAACAAGTCAAAATACTTTTGTTCAGAGTTTTGACAATCAGAAACATATTTGGGCCACCAAAAGGAGACACATTTAGCACAGCATATGGATATGTCAGGGTTCTATCAGGTTGCTTTGTGGAGTATAGAGCTGTCGCCACTGTCATTCTCAAGTTTCACTTACTGAATTCTCCTCAATAACCTGGGGAAGGAAGAGGGCCTCAGGCTAATGAGAGATTTTTTTATTGTGAAATAAAAACCAGCAAGAAAAAAAAAAAGTAGCTGCTTTTGCTTTATAGAGAAATTAAGATTGCATAAATGCAGGACAGGAAATGGTAATTCCTAATGTCAACCAAGCTGTCAAAATATGCAACTGTTCTCGTTTGTGGAATTGCCATTAGACAAATAGTAACTCAGTTCCTTTTTTTTCTAATTGTGGAGAAGCGTCTGTGTTGCATATGCAAGAGAATAAGACCAAATTTTTCCAGATTTATGCTGAATTTTTTGTATCAGTATGATTTTCATTTGAATCACACTGAACAAAATGACTTGATGTATAGAAAAAGGTTTATAAAGAAGAGAAATTCAAGAAAGGAACTCTAAAAGTGCAATTAACTTCTACCATGATTAAGATTTTGTTATGATCTTTTCTTTAATTTTCATTTACTCTATTTTTCTATTGGGTGTCATCACACATCTATATATATATTTTCCCCCAATAATAATGATTCCACTTGCGGATAAGGATGTGAAATTGTAATTATATTCCTAATTTTTATGATACATTTAGGTAAAATACAACACAATTACTGCAAATTGACAAAGTAAGAAAAAACAAGAGCACACCCATATTAAAATATGTGCAACTGAGTAAAATATTTTTTCTAGATTGTTTATATTTCTTCTCAAGGGGATTTAAAAATAAGCAAAATGAGCTTGAGGTAGAACAGTACGTCATTGTCACTGTAACTGTACACAAAATATAATTGAAGGAGAAATATTTATAGGCATTAAAACATCACATTTTTCAATAACTACCAACCAGCTTTTGCTTATAGCTAAGAAGGACTAAATATTAGAGGATGGAAATCCTTCTTGTCAACATTCTAATGTTTAGCCCCTTGAACCCTACGGACCCACTGGCGGGTCCAGCTGCTACGTGACCTCGTAATTTTACCAAACCCCCAGTATTGATGTAAAAAACATATTTGGCACAGTTTGGTGACATTTATGGATAAATGTGCCAAAATGGCCTCTCCGCCTAAGAAATTTCTCACTAATACCATTCTAAAATAAATATGATTCATCTGATTGAGTCCAAATTTTGTATATTTTTACACAACATTTAGATTTAAAAGTCTGTACTACTTTTTTGTGCTATAAATAATATTTTGGTAGTGTTTTGCAATGTTTATTTCAAAGAAAATTTTGGCGAGGTTCAAAAAATGCTAAATATTTTGTATTTTGTCCCTAATATTTCAGGCAGGGTCAAAGCTACAATGGTGCTGACACCAGAAAACCATTCTATGACATCTAACCTTTACAGACGTACCAAAAGTTTCTTCTTACATCTAATAGCTGTGAGGCTATAAGTTATTTACTTTTGTGTGTTTTTGTCAGGCAGAAATTTATTTATACCCCCTGAGGGTGTAAGAGGTTAGATAACTTCTTTGATTTCCTACCCCTTCAAACAGAGATATGTACTTTAAACTTTGAAGTCATTTAAAAATCTTCAAGAATGAACATGGTTCTTTTCCATGTCACCTGGCAGTTTAAAAGTCATTGAGCTTACTTGGTGATCTATCTATCTATCTATCTATCTATCTATCTATCTATCTATCTATCTATCTATCTATCTATCTATCTATCTATCTATCTATCTATCTATCTATCTATCTATCTATCTATCTATCTATCTATCTATCTATCTATCTATCTATCTATCTATCTATCTATCTATCTATCTATCTATCTATACAAGGTTGCAGAGATAAAAAAAAAACACAAGTGAGGAAAAACTCTGAAATTGAGCGTTTTCTTTCCTTGTCTACCACAAGTATACAGTAAAAAGCCGCAGCGAAAAGTATAAAGCGGAGTCACAAAGAAACGTTTTTTTCTATCTACTCTTCCTGCTGTGCTCCACAGTTTCACCTCCACTGACAGCTCTTTCTTTTAAGTGACATCTTCGAGCCAAATAACCATTTCCGTCTCTTTTCTGATCTGTTTATTTGTTCCTGCTTCCATTTCAGCCGTGTCATTACTTTCTGGTGTCTTGTTTGTGATACTGATTCTCTGAAGCTTTTTACCGCTCTCTCCTTCCTAAACGCAGGAGTGTGTCACACAGAGTGCAGAGAGTTATTAGCATCTACTCTTGGTGTCGTGATGGAGCCCAGCAGCTAAATAACAAATGGATTCTTTACTTTTCTATGAGCATCTGGTGCCTCTGTGCTTAGATCTGCTGCATACCATGTAAATTACAAAATAGTAGTAGATTGTTAAAGGCTGAGAGAAATATAATACCAATTATAATGAAATTAATTACAACAAACTCATATTGCAAAACATTAGATTTAAAGTACCTTTTATTCAGAGAGTAAAATATAAATAAATGTTACTTGATCCCTTTTAGGCTTTCTAGTACAGCCTTGACTGTCAATTTAATCTGAAAAACTCACACGAAGAGAAAAGACAATTAGAAGAACTTTATTGACAATTACTTAGTCTTTGGCGCTCAGACCTCGGCAGGAAACATATCGCTGAATTCTGATAGATATGCATGAACAGGAGTAACGAATAGGGCTGTTTCCCCCCCAGGCCTGAAACTGGTGGTGGAGAGGAGATAGATGGAGTTGGTCAGTCTGTAGACTGCTGGTTAGAGAGACAGTATGCTGAGCTTTATGGGGAGATCCAGTGGACTGCGTGAGCTGATTCTAGAGCTTCACTCAGGGACCTGGAAGAGGGAAGTACAGTTTGGATAACACAGGTTGAGAGAACCTGTCAATGATGAGCAAGCATGAAGCGACAGTGGAGAGGAAAAACTCCCCATTGGGAAGAAACCTCTGGCAGAACCAGGCTCAACATGGAGGTCTTCTGCCGGACCGGTTGAGATGAGACGTGAAATGCAGTAAGAGTCCGGGAGGAATGACACTGATGAAGTTTTAGCTACGATGGTGGAGGTACACTAGGTAGCGGATGAGTTGCAGATCGGAAGCCTTTTAAGATTAACTTTGGATGCTGATTGGCTTTCATGGAGGCGTGGTTCAAAGCTGATTGGCTGCGTCGTAGGCGGATGAAGGCGAGTAATCAGTTTATTCAGTTGAACTTCCACCTAGGCTCCATTTTCACTAAACTTTTGTCAGAAGATCCTATAATTAAGCTTCTCTACAAAGAACATCAGCTTGGCAAAGATTGAAAAGAAGTAACAAGTGGAATATTAATTTATACCCACTTTCTGTCAAAATTCTCAGTTATCCAGGTCATGGTCGAGCTTTAAACATTCAATTTAGGCAACTGGATGTGAAGTTTCCTAGAAGACGTTTCGCCTTCAGGCCTCTTCAGTTCTAACTAGTGGTGGGGAGCACTGAGATTAATATAGTGTAGGTTTAACAAGATTTAGGGGCAGCAAAAGGTGGCTTTGATCCCTCCTACTGGATTGACCACAGAGGTTACTGGTTGCTAGACGGCTCTGATTTGTTGTTAACTCCTTTGTCATAGTGGTTTCAGTCACATCCCTTTATTGAAATGTGAGTCAGGTGAGGACAGGTGAGAGGTAAATCTTCTGGGTGTTGTTCCTAGAAGTGCTTTGGAAGTAGGTGGCAGGATATGTTTAAGACCACATCCTCTGTTGAGAGGTGGTTTCACCGGGTTAAC